CTGTTGTAAATGTAAAATTGGTGAAGTAGTATACTGAGAGGAATTTTTGTTTTTCCTGTACGCAAAGATTCGATATCGCTTTCGTATCGATTCGAATAATCTATTCGAATAGAAACTCGGTCAATAAAATAGCTTTAATAACAATATGCGTTTTGGCGACAACGATTTTTAAAAATGTCAAAAACTTGGTAATAACAAAAATTAAATAAAACCGATTCCCAATTTCAACTTTATTTCGAAGTTCTTAAATCTTAATTGTATACAATTAAGACAAAATTATGAATGTTTTCATTTATCGACATGCAGTAAGAATATCATTATTCTATTCTGGTTCTACAATAACAATAAGCAAATCAACCTATTCGTTAAGTTAATTGGTTAGTTAATTTAAAAAGGACATTATTTAATAGAAAATTCCTTCTCTTAATTATAATTCAAACATAAAACTTCCGAAAATTAGTTATTTTCGTTAAATGTTTTAAAGAATACGACAAAATTTCTCATATCAAAAGCCTGATTCCAAAACTGGGACGCCCGTCTAGCTATTATTTTGTGTATACATTTGTGTCAATTTTATCTAAATATTCTAAATAGATTAAAGAAAAATACTCCGATCGTAAATTTGTGTGCATAAATGTATACACAATTTTTATGTAACAGATTCTAATATTATTGATAGCTTATGGTCTGTCCCATTTTCTATAGTTAATAAGAAATAAAATAGTCTTACTATAACAGGTTAATGTATTTATATCAAACATAACGCTAAAAAATGTTCATTGAAGTCATATTGTGAGCAATTTGAGCGAAATTAAAAAAACGATTTTTCGATGAATTTTATTTAAAAATTTTAATACTCAGTATCTTCAAAATATAATACTGTATCCGGTGATCTTCTTCTAAAACTTTTATATTTTTATGAAACCCAACAAATTTCCATATAAATAAAAACCCGTCCGGCAATATTTTGATTTATTCGTTTTCAACATTTTAATTTAATTTCGATCTGATACATTAATGATTATATTAATATTAAACATTACGTAGGTAGGTCACAGATTGTACTACGTAGGATGAATCTTAAATAAAGTTTACTTTATTTAAACATGTGCTACTGGATGTTACATCCGATAAAAATTTTTGATATCTATTCGATAATAAAAAGTAGCTAACTATTCTTATAAAAGTCCTCTCAGTAGAATATTTAGTTAATAATTAGTTCATTGAATAATTAAAGATTCATATTTCATATACCTATAATATCGGTACAAATATTTCTAGTTTCAAATGAAGAATCCATTATATTTTTAAAAAACATCTAAAAAAAATGATCACAAAAGTATTGTAAACACATTATACACTTATCAATCCGTAAGTTATTAAAATAATACTAGAAATATGTTACAAATGTATGAAGACAGTTCAGTTCTTATATTCGACAAATTTCATAATTATTATTTAGTACTTTTGCAGCCAATACAAGCAGTAAATATGCATTGCAAACACAAAAATTTTAAATCAAATAAATGTTTGCATATTGTTCAATGTTTGGATTACGTGTGAATACGATGTTTGGATAACAGTAATTTTTATTTGGTAGGTACACTGTGGTAAAATCGTTAGATTTAACAAATGTGCTTGAAAATTTAACTAGTAAAAAAGAGTCTTACTCTGTAGTAAAAAAAAAAAAAAAAAATTTTACAGGTCATCAACTTGTAGGACTGTTTATTCGACCTATATTAAATTTTCAAACCAATCAAGTAAATCTATAAATTCGTTGGGTAAATTTGTTGACAATAAAATAAATAGTGCATGTTCAAAAACGCATAAATCATAGTTCTCGGATAGAAAAAAAAATAATAGAAAAACACTAAACATATTAAATGAATAATTCCCTTCATACGCTCCGAATTAAAAATGGAAAAAAAAACTGTTAGGAAGTTATGTATTTTGTGAATAAATTTGTGTCAATTTTATCTAAATAATCTAAAGTAATTAAAATAAAATACCCAGATCCTAAATCACTGTGAATTAATATATACAATATATCTGTATAAAAAATTCTAATATTAATAAAACTTTATGGGTTGTCCAGTTTTCGATAACTTATGAAAAATAAAATTATCATTTATTTCAGGATTATAAATATATACCAATCTAACGTATTATTAAATACATATGTATAATGAGATCCTAATCGGAGAGATCTGAGAGAAATTTAGCAGATACATTTTAATTTGAAATTATTTTACGTGGCATCTTCAAAATACAATACTATATCCCGTAACCTTCATTTAAAATTCTTAAGTAATTTTCGGAAGTCTATGAAATCATGTCCACATTAACTAGAAAACAAAACCCAAATTACTCGGAATATTGCATTTTTATAAAATTCCGGACTTAATATGGATATGATACATTTATGATTACATACATTTTAAAAAATTATGTAAAGAGGTCACATATTATACTGCGTAGGATGTATTCTAAATACAAATACATTGTA